AGTTGCCAAAGGGCTATTCCTAAAACACAGGTCTGACCATACCACTCTTTTGCTCAATAAACTCAAGGAGCTCACTATTCCTTCTAGACTCAAGAACTCTGGCATTTAAAGCCCTTCACAAGACAGCACCAATCTACCTTTACAATGTTCTTTTACATGACTCCCCTTCCTATACTCTTCAATAGTCAAAATGGCCTTCATGCTGTTCCATCTGCCATCTCTATTCTCTACAAAATCTATGCCCAGAATCCCTAGTTTCCTTCAATGTTCAGCATAACCACCTACTACCTAAGGCCTCCCTGATCCTCCCCAGCTGCTAGGACCACCTAGTCACCTAGTATTTATTTTGTAGACATTTTTACTCGTACACATCTCCCCCAATGGAATTTAAGCTCCTTGTGGGAAGTAACTGTTTCATATTTGTTTTGTGTCATTTTGACAGTTTTAGTCAAGTCAGCAGTTAACACGGTGGAAGGAGAAGGAAATAAGCATTTACATAGTGCCTACTATGTGTCAGGCTCTGTGCTAAGCACTTTACAAGGATCTTATTTGACCCTCACAATAACCCTTTCAAGGTAGCTGCTGTTATTATCCCCATTCTACAGCTGAGGAAATTGAGGCAAGCAGAAGCTAAATGATTTATCTTCTTGACTCTAGGCCCAGTGCCCTTTCCACTTAGTTGATTTGAAACAGTAGGCACTAAATAAGTGCTTAACTGACTTACTGACATCTAGCACAAGGTCTGGGACATTGGCACTTAATATAGTAAATATTTGATTAATTGATCAATTTTAGAGATTTGTAGTGTTTATTTTTTTTAATATTGAGAAAAAAGAAAGGGTAAAAATTGTGCTCTATTACATATGTCAGAATACTGTCACTATTTTCTCTAAATTACTCATTTATTACAATACAAATGCTTTTGTTCTTTAGTCGTTTTTTCAGTTGTGTCAGACTCTTCATGACCTTATTTGGGGTTTTCTTGGCAGAGATAATGGAGTGGATTGCTATTTCCTTCTCCAACTCACTTTACAAATGAGAACTGAGGCAAACAGGGTTAAGTGACTTGCCCAGGGCCACACAGCTAATAAGTGTCTGAGCCCAGATTTGAACTTATGAATGTGAGTCTTCCTGATTCTATGCCCAGGGCTCTATCCACTGCACCATCCACCTAGAGAGAGCCTGTACAGGAAAAGGATTAAGGTTTTATGTTTCCAGCTTTCTTTTGAACTGTTAGGTGTAAAAAAACACAAAAAAGTATTTATCTTCCTTCTCAGATATTCCCCAATTTTATTTTCCCAACTTGTTACCACTTTATTTTCTAATTCTAATAATTTCTAATTCTTGTCATGTAACATTGTGATATGTGAGTTACTGTCTTTTTCCCCTACTGAACTGTAAACTCCTTTAGGGCAGGTGTTTATTGCTATTTGAACTGAAAGGAGTAGCCTTTGAGGTCATCAACTCCAACTCCCTCATTTTTCAGATGAAGAAATAAGCTCAGAGTGAAGTGACTTTAAGGGCACACAGCTAGTGTGTGTCAGAGCCAGGACCTGCACCCACATCCTCTAATTCCAATTCCCAGACTAAAGTGAACTCCTATACAAGCGCCTAACTCAAAATTCTGTACACCACAGGTGCTAGTAAATGTTTGTTGCATTCATACGTTTGTCTACCACATTACGTGTCCTTTGTAAAGAATAACAACAAATTCCTTTGTAATTTGCCACAGCCACTAGCACTGGAGGGAGTCTGTCAAACGTTAGCCATTTTGTCATTACTATCCAGATCTCATCTACAATCTCAAGAACTCAAAAAATTCCATTACTATTGCCTAGACTTTCTCTTCCGCTCCTTCCATACAATGGCAAAACAAAATTCCAGCTAGTTTTTAAACACATGGTGTCAATATTAAGAGAGTAGCACTGCTACTGATATTTGGCTATTCAGCTTTTCCAGGAAACAGTTTCAATAATTAAACAATGAATTCATGATTAAAATCTTTATTAAAAGAAAATCAACTGACAGAATTTGGTGCTTAGGTTTTCCTCACTTGTGATCCTCTGTACATTACAAAGTTTACATACATAAAATAGTATATAAATACAACAGAACCAAAAAGTCCAATATACAATGACAATAACATAGTTATGTTTCAGAATCAAGAAGCTATTCCAAATAACATGGACTAGAATGAGCCCTATAGCCTTAATATTTTTTTTATCCAGTTATCAGTTTAAGATCAAAACATAGATACCAACCTCAAAAAATGAAGTGTTAGTTAGCAATTCTATGTATGGGATTTTACATTTACAAAGTGGCTTTCTGATCATTTCAGTATATATAAACCATTACACAATGCTTTTCCACATTAAGATAACAGTGGTTATGGTATTTCTCAAATGGAAGGCATCCAATATATCATGTCATAAATGCTTAAACCACAACAGATTGACTGTATCATCTCTTCAGAGTTCTAACTAATGTAAATGGAACTCCCTGGTCAAGTACACCTATTTCTGGACACACTTTTGAACATTAGCACAATCCCACAATATCACTATTTTAAAAATACACTTAACTATTCTGATACAGTAATAGTTGCGTTATCAGCTATTCATAGGCTGAAAAACATGCCATGTAGTACTACAGTACTTAAGCAGCATTTTGAAACAAAGTCAAATGTTGGCATAACTGTCACTCACAGCAGGATCAAATCCACCCAAAGCCTCCCGCAATGCATTCATTATTAAGGCTCAACACATATTCAGTTTTCTATCCAATTAGAGTTTGGAAAGTTTCATTGGTACATAAGAAAGTGCACCCAGATGTATGCCCAACTTGTAAAGGTCTACCAACCAAACAGCTCTCTTCCCAACGGTTCAAAGAGAAAAGCTGGAACTCATTTTTATTTAATTTCTTAAATTACTAAAATGCAGCTATTTAAAGATAGTCAGTCTATCCAAACTGACTTGAAAGAATTTTCATTACCCTTTGTACTACTACTTACTGACAAGTAAAGCGTCAAGGCAATTGCTGGGTCTCTCCAAATCAAAGATGAAGTGAAAAATTAGAGCTTGGAAGTTTTCCTTTTTATTACAAGGGATACTTTTGAAGTAAGCAGAAAAATTTTATCTACACAAGAATGAAAACTATATAGTGGAATAGTCTTTCTTCACTGTAATATAAAAAACCAGTATTTCTATTAAAAAATTTTGTTTTTTCCATTGTTACTGGATTTTAAATATTTTAAAAATAACTATTTTATAAAATAGTTAATAAAATCTTAATAGATTTACTTCAGGTTTAAAACAAACAGAACTCTCCTTCCCTCTCAAGATTGTTTATAGTATTTTAGCATGACTGCAGAAACCAGTAATAGGTTCGAGTTATTTCATTAAACAGAAGGTTGAGTGTTCACGAGGATACCTATAAATTAATAAAATCACTCACTGACAGGTGTCAACATTTTTAATAAAGCTAATACTTCTCAAAATGATGCATAGATATTGGTATGTCACACTACAGCAGTTGGAAATTAAAAGGGAAGATGGGCACAGAATTTTTTAAAGACATTGCCAATTATAGGGATATAAGTAAGAACTTTGAAAAAAACTCTAACAAAGCAGAAATAACTGCAGATTGACCACTCAAAGCCAACACAAGGAAATGAATGTGGAAAAAAAAACAAGTCAAGAACTACCTTTGATAAAAGGGGGAAAAAAACAGGTTTAAACTAGAAACTACTTAAACTCAAGAAAAAAATCCAGTGACTAGACAATTTTTGCAGAAGCAAAGGAATTTTTAGATTATATCATGCGAATCTCACTGTATTACATTATAAAGGTCTTGGCAAATGTTAGCCATTAATCTTTAACACAAAGGATATTCAAATCCAACCAAATGTAATACAATCTCTTTCAGAAGGAAGGAAAGGAGTAATTTACTTTATCCCCAATTATTTAAACTAAAGGCCAATGAGGATGATGATAACGCAGAATAGGTCAGCATTCCATCTATCATGTCACATTTCTCACGAAGTCTTGCACCAATCCGGAAAAAAGGTGGCTATGGACACAAAACAGGCTTAGAAATGGCTTTTAAAAAAATCTCCTTCAATGAATGAGACCCCACATCATGGTTTATTCTCCTACACAATTGGAGAAATATAAAGAAAAAACACTACCCTATCATGCTTCACTTTTTTCTTTGTCACTGATGACTTAAATCTTAAAAAACTGTATATTTATTTAATTCCCTCCATTGGCGGTGGAGGGATAATTTGGCTTCTATTTTATTGATTACACATAAGGAAGAAAGGGGGGGAAAGCAGCTGCTGCAATGCAACACTAGCTGACACAGAGAAAGGGGAGAAAACCGGTTTGAGAAACAAACCGATACATACCACCCCCAAGTCTCCTCAAACATAGCGGCGATTTTAGCATTGTATTGGTTTAAAAAATGGGGGGGGGTGAAGGAGATTCAAAAGAAAAATTAACTTCTCCCCCTCCCCCAATTTTGCAATTTCACCTTTGGATTTTATACCTTTCTATCCCTGCCACAGCTTTTTCTTAATTACCTCTTTGGATTTCATATCTTTTCAAACTTAATGATAACAACACGTCTTTTAAACGAAAAGTGCATGTACACAGTGTAAAAAATAACCACAAAACTGTCTTCTCTCCCATCGACCACGTAGATCAGCACAGATTACTCTCTCCCTTCCCATTCCCCCCCACACCTCGGTTTAGGGGATAAAGGATAAGGGGAGGGGGAGAAGGGAAAAGCCAGAGGTGCATAAAGAAGAAGGGGGGATGGAAAGGATGGGGAAAAGGCGGCCGAGGGGGGAAAGGCTAGAGAAAGAAACGTGGAGAGCAGAGGAAGCCCCTCGTGAGAAGGGGCGGAGGGTGGAGGCAGGAGGACCCGGGGAGCAGCCCGGGCGGGGTGGTGACGGCGCACGGCGCGAGGGCCCCCCCCCGACCCCCCGGGGCTCCCCTCACCTCATGGTGCCGGGCGGTGCGGAGGCTTCCCCGGCCGGAGGAGGAGGGAGGGCGAGGACGGAGCGGAGCGGGGTGGGGCGGGAGCCGGGCTCCGGAGACAAGAGACCGGCAGCGTCCGGGATCGGCGGGGCTCTGGCGCTGCCGGGGAAGCTACACCATCCTCTTTCGGTACACAAAGCCGAAGCGCCCGCCGGCCGGAGTGCGAGTGCGAGTGCGAGTGCGAGTGTGAGTATGAGTGCGTGTGTGTCTGGGTGAATGTGCGTGCGTGTGTGTGTGTGTGTGTGAGAGGGAGAGGGAGAGAGAGAGAAAGAGAGAGAGACTAGGGAAGGGGGAGGGCGGAGAAGCGGACAGGGGGGCGCCGGTCCCCCCGGCGGCGACCGCCGCCTCCCTCCTCTTCCTCCTCCTTCTCCTCCTCCCCCGACGCGGCGCGGGGGATCCTTGAGCCCGCCGGCCTCGCGCCGCCGCTGGGGAAGCCGGTCTGGGGACGACGACGCCGCAGGCAGGCAGACTTGCGTGCAGCTCCCGCTCCCGCCGCCGCTACCGAGGCCGTGTGCAACCGGCAGCAGGAGGAGGAGGAGGTGGAGGAGGAGGAGGAGGAGGATCAGGATCGCCGCCGCGAGGAGCCCGGGGAGGGGGCGGGGCGCGAGGCGAAGGAGCACGCACGCGCCAGCCCAACCCGGGGGAGGAGGGCTAGCGCCGAGAGGCGGGGGGGGGAGGTGGGGGTAGGAGGGAGGCGGGGAGAGGGCAAGGGCTGGTGGGAGAGCGTCGTCGTCCCCCCCCCCACCCCCATCCTCCCCCTCCCCCTCGGGCCGGCCCAGCTTTTCCCTTCCCTCCACTCCTCTCCCCTGCAGCGAGAGTGGGGAGGGGCATTGAGACTTGGGGAAAGGGAAAAGGCTGTGCTGGATTATTAAAGACTCTTTGTTGCTATCCCAACCCCATCCCGGTGGGATTACTCCCTCCTCTTCGACGTGCCCAAGAAACCTCTGCCTCCTTTGCTGGAGGCCCCGGCAAAACCGTTCGGAAGGAGGAGACTCAGTCTAACCTCAGTCCGAGGGCCTCCCCGAAACGAGGAGATGAAAAGAGAGATTTCCCCCCTCCATACTCCACCCCACTCTGCCCCCAGCTGGTCCTGCCTCTGGGAAGAAACCCCAGGCGCCACTGGGCGGGGGGGTTTCGTGCCAGAATTGTAGATGAAAAGCCCCCTTCTCTCCCCGCGACCTTGGTGGAGCTGGTGTAATTAAAGCATCTGGGAATTTGGTCCCTGTCGTCACCGGGGGCCAGGCACAGGGGATTCCCTGTGTGATGCTCTCCTGGAAGAAGCAGCGGCCCTTTAAAATCATTTTGTTAAGATTCTGTTCTCTGTGCTTATGCTCCGAGTTATCTCCTGTTGCTACCCTATTAGCAGGCGAGAGACACAAATTGACATACTGCTCCAGCCCTCCGTCTGGCCACTACGGTGCATGTTACTTTCCTCTAAGATGAAAGCACTAAATAAATGCGAAGTGTGGTGATCTCTGTTTGCTCGGGTCCTTTCTATCCGGAAGAATCCCATAGTGGTTTACCAGTTTAACAAGCTGATATGCAAACTATGTATAGAGATGACTTCATCCACGTGAAAAGCAGCCAACTCGGGGTAAACCACGGTAGCTGTGTAACAAATCCCAGAAACACTATAGAACCGTTTAGGGCAAGAATCGAAGAATAAGAATAATGCAGCCAATTGAAATTCCATTATCTCACCATTGTACTGAAGGGATTTTTTTTTTCTTGCAGTGTGTTCATATGAGACTTAAAATCTCAGTCATTCAAATTCTCTCGGCCTGAAATCAATGCCATATAAAGATAGGTAAAGACTAGTGGAGGAAGCAAACAGAAGTCAAGTTAACTTGAAAGGGGAAGGGGGGCCACCTGGAAGACCTGGGCTTGTCTTTGTGTTTTAAAGTGTCCAAAAGCAAATACAATTATGCAAATGCATGGTAACCCAAGACAAATGATAGCCCTCATAAGGTCTAAGAAAGCTTTTTTTTTTAAATAAAAGAGGTTATAGAAAATGCTAGTTGCTGCTAGGTTTATCTTATTAAGAGCAGTAACGAGAAGGGGAAGGCCAAATATGATTTCTAGTCTTAACTCAGATGTGTGAAATTTTTGTCAGAAAAGAGGGAGTGTAGGCTCACAAATGGCAGGCCTATTGGTCACATGCAGTCAATCTTAAGTGGCTCTACTTTGTCAATAATAGAAAGGTGTAGCTTATGGACTGCTTCGGCTGTTAACCTGAAGGGCTTCATTGACTTCAAACCTCTACACGGAGTACTGAATTATATTTTCATGCTGGGACCTGTCCTTTCCCGGTCAACAGTCCTCTAAGTCAAGATGCCCAGGGAGTGCTTGGCAAAGGGCCGATGTCTCAGTCCCTAGTTTGGGTGCCTTAACTATTTTAAACCCATTAACACAGTAAATATCTCCTTTGTACATACTGGTTTACATATTATCTTCCTCATTAGAATAAGAGCTCCTTGAGGGCAGGGAACTGGTTTTTGCCTTTCTTTATGTCCCCAGTGCTTGGGTCAGTGCCTGGCACATAGAAAGTGATAACTATAAATGCTTGTTGGCTTTTTACTTAAATTATAGCAATTCCCACCCCCAAATCATCCCTAATATCTTTTATCAACGGATGTGAAAATACTTGAGATATTATTAATCTTTTTTTTTGAGGCAATTGGAGTTAAGTGACAAGGGTTACACATCTAGTTAAGTGTGTGAGGTCACATTTGAACTCAGGTCTTCCTGACTCCAGGGCCAGTGCTCTATCCATTTTGCCTCCTAGCTGCCCTTTATTAATCTTTACAACACACTTCCTAACACAAAGTAAGCGCTGAATAAATGCTTTTTCATTTATTCATTTATAATACCCTTTTGAATCACAAATCCTGACCCACCACCCTATTGCTAGTCATTCCCCCCCAAAAAAATCACTTTGTGTTTACTTTGTGTATTCTTTGAATGTACTTATCTATGTACATGCTGTTTCCCCTAATAGAGTGTAAACACCTAGCGGGCAAGAACTTTCATTCTGTCCCCCCAGCATTTAACTCCCCAGCTGGCACACAGTAGGTAATTGAGAAATGCTTGTTGAATGAATGAAATAAATGTCATTGTTATTCTAATATAATGGCAATGCTAAAGTACAGTGGTAGTCACAAGATGAGTTGGTGGAAGAGGCGTGATTAAAAATCACAATTGCTAACATGGGTCCACATAATATTCTACTAATGTGAAAAGTATTTAATATGGGTTAGCCCTCACTAGAAGTCTCCAAACAAAGCCAGGAAGAGCACTTTGGGTGTATGTTGTAACAAGAATTGTTATTCTAAGGGAGCTCAGCCCATCCCCCTCTTTTAAAGATGAGGAAACTGAGATGATATGACTTGTCTAAGGTCATATAGATATCTGAACATCAGAGGCAGGGTTTGAAGGCAGCTTCTCTCTATATAGTTTGTATTTTTGTTAGCAAGACCTTGGGAGATCGTAAAGAAATCACAGGTACCTGACTTAAGTCCATTCATATCAATGCAAGGAAAACTTCAGAGTTCAAGTTCAAAAGGACATCAGTAGAGAGGGCCAGAAGAGAAGCTGATTTTCCCCTTCTGCCAAGGGACAAAGGGCAAAATTCTTCTCATGAGACTGTCTAACTTACTTCTTGTTTAAAAAATTAACTGGAGTTAGATGAGTGAGCACTGGAAATATGAATGGCTATCTTTAATTCTTATAATTTATATAATAGCCAGAAAGTTTTGGCTGCTCACAACTAAATCCATCCTTTTGAATAGCAACATGCTTGCCAGCTCATGGTCATGCCATGGTTGGATATAGATTCGCTATCATGGATGGTCTAGCATGCTGGAGTCAGGAAGGCCTAAGTTCAAATCCAGCCTCAGACAACACTTATTTTTACCAACTATGTGACCCTGGGTTAATCACTTAACCTCTGTTTGCCTCAGTTCTCTCAACTGTAAAATTGGGATAATAACAGCAGTACCTCACAGGGTTAAATACATACTGTACATAAATAAATGCTAGCTATTGTCATTGTTATTTATGGTAAAAACAATTTTCTTAAATATACTTTCCTTATCTGGGTTATTCATTATCAATTAATTTAAAAGCCTTTATTAAGCATTTACTATGTGCAAAGTATTGTGCTGAAGTATACCTTTCTTATTTTTTTTATTGCATCTCATTCATATTAAGTGTTAACCAAAGAAAAAGGGAAAGGCAGGGAAATTCAGAGAACACCTTTGATCATAGAGGGTATGTCATAAGAATGTACTTAACTTTTCATCTCATGAGTGTTGAAATAGCAAAATCAGAGATGTTCTCTGGCTAAGAATTAATTCTGACACTGAATCAGATATGATCTAAGATCAGCACTCTTTTAGCTATTGAAAGAAGCATCACACCCTAATGTTTTGTCTCTTCCAAACCTTAGTTCCCATGATCTGTTAGTAATCCTCAACCTTTTCTACCACTAATATGCTGATGCATTGAGTACTCTCTCCCTCCATAACCTTGGTGTATACAGTCATCAGGAACCAGTCTACAAATGCCTGTTAGCAGTGTGCACCAGGCATAAAATGAAACAAAGTGTGCTTCTGTTTAAGATCGATTAGCTGCAGGAGTATTGTCAGTCTGGATCTGAGGTTTCTCTCTGAATATACCCTGTTTGAGTCAGTCTGATATCATCAGCGTCGGCCTTCCTCCATTTATGGGCATGAGGAGGATGCATGACTAATGCTACTCAGCAGTCTGGAAATCAGTTCTGAGCATAGCTGGGAAAGTCTCCCTTCTCACCTAAAGAAGGTTTTCCCTTTAAAAGTTAGGGTTTACATGAGTAGGAGTGAGGAGCAGAGGGAGGTGGGGTGTTGTTTGGGGTTGAATGGGATTGCTCTGTCTGCTACTAGTACTTTCTGTGTTCTGTTTCTTCTTATTACTATTGCCTCATTGTGATTTTTGCCTATATTTCCAAGAATGGAAAAAAATATATATGTGAAACTTAATGCAGTGGGATTCAAGAAGGTACAATTTTGTCATCCCTTTTCAACCTTAGTTGTATATGTGGATATACAGATAGACGTCCTTGTGTGGATTTTCCTTCAGTTTTGTTATTTTTCTGTCTTACAAATTAGGGTATATTTGGTTAATTTAGTTTCTCTTTCTTTTCTTAGCTCTTAGCTGATTGAAACTGCAAGAAGATCCACATCCCTGACCAGTGTTGGACTGGTATCATTGACTTTACACATGCATCATAATCTCATACAAAAAAAAATACCGTTTTCCATTTAAAGACCATTCATTCAACAATCCACAAATATTATGCATATGCAAAGCACTAAAAATTTGGCCATTTCTGAAGAGCAGTCAAAATACTGTTTACCTTTTGGGCACATTGTCTATTAATCCCCTTCCTGCACTCTTCAGTCCAGTCAAACTGTTCTTAATGTTCTGCACTACAATTCCTGTCTCCACCATCCCTTCAGCTTCCAACTCCATCATGCTTTTTACACAGGCTGGCTATCCCTCAAGCCTGGGATTCGCTTGCTCTACATGTCAGAATCCTTAGTTTCCCTTCAGAGCTCAGTTCTATTGCCAGCTCCTACATAAGGTCTTTCCTAACTTCTCCTGGCTAGTGCTTCTTTTCCAGATTACCTTATATTTATTGTATCTATATTTCATGTATATTTACATTGTATATCTTTACATGTATACATGTTATCTCTCACTATAGAATGTAAGCTCCTTGAGGGAAGGACTGCTCTTTTTTGTTTTTGTATCTCCAGTGCCCAACAATGCCTAGAACATAGGTATTCACAGGTGCTTAATAAATCTTACTGGTTGATTGCTTAGGAACTAGACAGAAAGACAATGTAGATATAAGCTTTAAGGTCCCTTCCAGATCTAAAATGTAATCCTTCTTATTCAGGACATTTGATAAGATGTAGCCATTAGCTTATCCTCTTTCGTGCTTTTACTATAAACACAGCGAAGAATTATCAGTCAATACCAAGGATAGACATTGTGGTTTCAATAATGCGCTTGAAGCATTTTCCTAAAGGAGAATAGGAGGGTGAGAGAATAAGAAACTATTTTCTGACAAACCACAATGAAGGAGAAAGGTGACATCACTGACCACTAGTGTACCTAAGTTATGAACATTTTACCCAAGATGTACCTAAAATACAT